GCGGAAAACGAATGCTTATGGCCTGCACTTCAAGCTGCGCGCTTTAAATCCATGTTATTATAGGTTATTACTTAGTAATGAAAGGCCACCTCGCGCCATTTATGTCTTATCTCCTTCTCTGTCTTCAGCTTTACTTTGAAGGGTTTATAATTCCAATTTTTCGCCTCTACACTTTTACATTCTCTCTTGCATATATATATATAAATATTCAATTTCAATTACTCATTTGTGTTACTATTTTTTTTCTCATGATACAAAAAACTGTATTTTTATCCGTTTTTAAAAAAAAACAAAAAATAAAAATTTTGTCCCTTTTTGTTTGATTAAAATAATTTAAAGTAACGTTAATGTAACACAAAGTTATTGTTGCGCAATGTTACTTGTTACGTAACACTAACGTTACGTAACACTAATTTTAAGCAACCGTAATTTTATGCAACTTTAACGTTACGTATCACTAACGTTACGTAACACTAACTTCACGAAAACGTAACGTTACGTGACACTAGCGTTACGTAACAATAACTTTAAGTAATAATAATGTTATGTAATACTAGCGTTACGTAACATTAACTTTAAGTAACAATAACGTTTTGTAACAGTAACGTTACGTGAAACTAGCGTTACGTAACACTAACTTTAAGTAATAATAATGTTATGTAACACTAGCGTGACGTAACATTAACTTTAAGTAACAATAACGTTATGTAACAGTAACGTTACGTAACGCTAGTTTCACGTAACGTTACTGTTACGTGACACTATCGTTACGTAACACTACCTTTAAGTAACAACAATGTTTTGTGACAGTAACGTTACGTGAAACTAGCGTTACCTAACACTAACTTTAAGTAATAATAATGTTATGTAATACTAGCGTTACGTAACATTAACTTTAAGTAACAATAACGTTATGTAACAGTAACGTTACATTTTGCTAACTTTACGTAACACTACCTTTAAGTACCATAACCTTTTCTAACAGTAACGTTACGTGAAACTCGCGTTACGTAACACTAACTTTAAGTAACAATAACGTTATGTAACACTAGCGTGACGTAGCATTAACTTTAAGTAACAATAACGTTATGTAACAGTAACGTTACGTAATGCTAGTTTCACGTAACATTACTATTACGTGACACTAGCGTTACGTAAGACTACCTTTAAGTAACAATAACGTTATGTAACACTAGCGTGACGTAACATTAACTTTAAGTAACAATAACGTTATGTATCAGTAACGTTACGTAACGCTAGTTTCACGTAACGTTACTGTTACGTAACACTACCTTTAAGTAACAACAACGTTTTGTGACAGTAACGTTACGTGAAACTAGCGTTACGTAACACTAAATTTAAGTAACAATAACGTTTTGTAACGCTAACGTTACGTGACAGTAACGTTATGTAACAGTAACATTACGTTACACTAACTTTAGGTAACACTAACTTTAAGTAACAATAACGTTATGTATCAGTAACGTTACATAACGCTAGATTCACGTAACGTTACTTTTACGTAACACTAGCTTTAAGTAACAACAACGTTTTGTGACAGTAACGTTACGTGAAACTACCGTTACGTAACACTAACTTTAAGTAACAATAACGTTTTGTAACGCTAACGTTACGTGACAGTAACGTTATGTAACAGTAACATTACGTTACACTAACTTTAGGTAACACTAACTTTAAGTAACAATAACGTTACGTAACACCAACTTTACGTAACACTTGAGTTACGTAACAATAACATTACATTTCACTAGCGGTAGGTAACAACAGAATCATATAACAATAATGGTAAGTAACATAATGGTATGGAACGTTACGTTACACTAACAGTAGGTAACAGTTACGTTACTTAATAACATTATTACATAATAATATACATATGCAGATGAAAAAATGTTATGTAACAATAGATAACGCGTGACATAATAATAAATTTGGGTAACAGAAACGTTACCTACGTAACAAAAAAACTTACACAAAAAATATTGGTAGACAATAAAAATTTTACTTAATAATAACAATTAAGTAGCAAAAGTGTTACTTAAAAATAAATGTACATAAAAGCTTTTTGTAAAAAAATATTTTTTTTTAAATACCTTTTCTCTTATAATACACCTAGATATATATATATATATATATTGTGAATGATTCTTTGGATAATTTACTAATTCGACTCACCCAACGCCACTAGAGTTTCAAGGTGTAATTTAAATCCATAATAATAAAAGGCGAAAAAAAAGGGCAAGATGCATGACCAATCGGTAAGCATTTCTTCAGTTTTCAGCCGCTCTATTATAACACACCAGCGCTCTTGGACGCGAAATAAATTGATAATATATTTACAATTTTAAATCTATTTAGAAAAATGTTTAAATTTTCTTATTTAAAAATTAAAAGAAATCAATTTTTTCAACCAAATTTTTTTTTTTTTTTTTTATACAAAGAAAATTTATTTGATTCAAACAAATTATAGTTTTGATTCAAAGAAAATATATTTTCGTTTCAAAAAAAAAAAATTTTTTTTTCAATTCAAATAAATATTTCTTTAATCCTATATCAATGTTAGAAATTTCTTTGAATCAAAGAAATTTTTACTTTAATTGAAAGAAAAAAGTCAAAAAAAAATTGATTTCTTTAAATCAAAGAAATCTTTATTTCATAATATGTACATAGAATAAATACAAATTAATTTTTGTTAAAGTATAATTTTTAATTTAATTATTAAAAAAAAAAAAAAAAAAAACAGAAGAAAAATTCTAAAATAGCTCCAAAAAAAAAAAAATTATTGTAACCATAAATTTTAGAATATCTTTTATTTCAGGTGTTTTTATAATAATATACAACAATAGAAATGTAATTATTTTCACAAATGATTTTTTAAATTTGAGAAAATACAGTGAACGAACGCGTGTGTGAGGTGTAAAATATTTATCACAAAAGGAGAGAAAAGAAAACAAAAGGGGGAGGAGAAAAAAAAAGGAAGAGCAATTTATTATAGCAGACAGCGCAAGCAGTGGCTTCGGGACTGACCTTTTTAAACCGTGAAGGGGAAATTCGGTCCGCTTGACGGCTACGAAGTTGCGGGGCCCTATACATCCGTGCATAATGATCCTTAAAGTGGCTCTCAACAATATATATACATATATATAGAGAGAAAAAATAAAAAAACTAAATATAACTAAAAACTTCATTATTGCGCATTTTTAAGTGCTGTAAATTTTTACTGCGCAGCTATATATTGCATTTGACACTTCTGCGCAGCTCTAGACACTTTAAAGTGCTACTGCGCAGCCGTGTGTGGCTTGGATTTTTACTGCGCAGCTTGAAAGTGTTATAAGTGCTACTGCGCAGCTCTAGACACTTTAGAATGCTACTGCGCAGCTGTAGAGTTCTTCTGCACAGCTCTAGACACTTTAGAATGCTACTGCGCATCCATTTATTCGGTATAATTTTACTGCGCAGCTTTAAACTGTTTACTGCGCATCTGTGTGTGCGGTAGAATTTTACTGCGCAGCCGTATATGGCTTGTAACTTTACTGCGCAGCTTTAAAGTGCTTGCAATACTATTGCACATCTGTGGAGTACTATTGCGCAGCCATAGATACCTTACAATACTTCTGTGCATCCGCTCATACAATAGAATTCTACTGCGCAGCTTTAAAGTGCATGAAAAATACTATTGCACAGCTGTCAAGTATTACTACGCAGCCATAGATGCCTTACAATACTTCTGCGCATTCGTTTATACGGTAGACTGCTACTGCGCAGTCATATGTGGCTTGTAATTTTATTGCGCAGCAATGCAATATCAGCAGTACTATTGCGCAGCTAAAAAATTGCATGTGGCATTTCTGCGCAGTCATAATTGATACACAATTTTGCTGTGCAGCTATATTTTGCACCATATCACTTCTGCGTAATCGTAAATAATTTTAAATGATACTGCGCAAACGTTACAATTCTATTGCGCAGTTATATGTCATTTTTAACTGTATTGCGCAGCAATACAATGTTATCGGTATTATTGCGCAGCGTTACAATCCTACTGCACAGCTATAAATTGCATGTGACACTTCTGCGCAGCCGTAATTAATAGACAATTCTACTGCGCAGCTATAGTTTGTACTATAGCACTTCTGCGTAGTTGTAAATACTTTAAATTACTACTGCGCAGACATATGTGGTTAATTACTTTACTGCGCAGCTTTAAAGTGTTTGCAACACTACTGCGCAGTGTTAGAGTGCTACTACGCAGTCCTAGATACTTTTCACTGCTACTGCGCATACGGTGGCGCAGCTATATATTGCAAACAATAATACTGCGCCGCCATATGTGGCTTGTAACATTACTGCGCAGCTTTAAAGTGTTTGCAATACTACTGCGCATCGTTAGAGAGCTACTGCGCAGTCCTAGATACTTTTCACTGCTGCTGCGCATACAGTAGCGCAGCTATGTATTGCATACAACTTATTCTGCGCATTAATATAAGAAATTTTTTTTTCTAATAATAATAATAATTGATAAAAATTAATTTTAATTACAAAATATAACTAAGCATAAAAATAATAAATTTATTACTTAAACGGTTTTTTTTTTAGTTTTTTTAAAACATTTTCTTATATCATACTACTTTTAAATATTGGCGCTTTTTTCTACCAATGAGAGTGTTACGCAAGCGCAGTTGCGTTTAGTGACGATTTTTTAATTAGAAATAAATGTTATTATTATATTTATATAGTTTGTAAAATAAACAAAATTACTACCTGATAGAGATGATAAATAAATAAATAAATGTTAAATAGTCTATACAGATACGAAATTTAGTTATATTTTTACTCATCAAAGGCGAATAAACAAAAAATTGATGTTACCGACAAATACTATATGATTTTCAAAAAAAGAAAAGAAAACTTCACAGTATTACACACCAGATGGCGCTAAATTATCACAAAGTTAAAGTTAGATTTACAATCTATGTGCTATACGCGCATATTGTCATTGTGAAAAAATGTAAACAACAGTCAAATGTTGACGGTAAAAAAAAGCAAAATAAATATTATAAAATAAAAATCTATTAAAAAAAAGAAAAATGACAGAACAAATATTTTCCCGTGTTAAATCATGCATGAATTCACAATCATATTTTGTCAATGATTCTTGGCTAAGAGATTGTATTGAATATTTTTGCAGTGAAAATTCACAGGTTAGTTTCTGTTTAATTTTTGTTATTATATATATATATATATATATATATATTATCAATTAACCCCTAAAATAGTAATATAATAATCCTGAGTTTTATTATTATTCTTTTATTCTGTATCGAGAATTGAAATTAAATTTTTAATATAATAATCCTGAGTTTTATTATTATTCTTTTATTCTGTATCGAGAATTGAAATTAAATTTTTATTTACTATTACTTTTTTTGTTTTTTTTTTTTTACTTTTTTCCGAAAATTTGTGATTTTTGTTTTCGTTCTTATTTATATGGGGCATTCCATATAAAAAAAAAAAAAAAAAATTACATCAAAAATTTAAAATTGCTTAATTACTTAATTGTTGATTTATATAAAAGTAAGGTATTTAAATAAATAAATAAACATATTTCTAAAATATTAGAAAATTAAAAAAAAAATTTAAGTTTGGCGCGTAAATTTTGAAATATATTTTAATTAATTTTTTAATAATGTTATTTATATTATTTATTTTATTATTATTATTATATTATTATTATTGCTTATTATATTTATTTTACTATTATTAATTATTAATTATTATTTATTTTTATATTATAATATTAATTTATATTAAACACACGTGTTTTTTTTTATCTTTTACTTAAAAACAAAAATTAAGTTTGGCGCGTAAATTTTAAAATATATTTTAATTAATTTTTAAAATTTATTTTATTATTATTATTTATTATTATTATTATTTTATTATTATTATTATTTTATTATTATTATTATTATTATTATTATTATTATTATTATTTTATTATTATTATTTTTATTATTATTTATTAAATTTATTATATTTTATTATTATTATCAATTATTATTTATTATTTATTTTTATATTATAATATTTATATTAAACACACGTGTTTTTTTTATCTTTTTCTTTAAAAAAAAAAAAATAAAATTTTGCCTTAATTTTTTTTACACGTTTTTAATGATTAATAATTTTTCCAGGTAAATTTCAATAATGTTCAACAATTTGTAAAAGAACAATTTCTTCTCAGCGATTTACGTGAAATTAACAATATTAATGGTTGTTTACCACCGAATCTGTCCGAAAAACCAAAGACAATTTTAGATAGTAAATATACTCTTCAGGTAATTAAAATACGATTTAAAAAAATTATTATTATTATTATTATTATTATTATTAAATTAATTAATTAATTTTTTAGTAAATGAAAGAAAAACAATTTTTTTTTTATATAAAGACGAATAATTTTTTTACTTTTAATTTATTACCATTATTTTTATTTGATATTATTTTTTTTACTATTATTATTAATATTATAATTATAATAAATTAATTACATTTTTATAATTATTTTTCTTATTATTATTATTATTATTATTATTATTATTATTATTATTATTATTATTTTAGAAAAAAACTACCTATTTATTTAGTAGAATTTTTATTTAGCCAAATTTTTTTTTGGCAAAAAAGTATTTTGATTTGTATTATTACAATTATTATTATTATTTTTTTTTGTTAATATTTTTTTTATTATTAGTAATTATTATTGTAATAAATTATTTATATTTTTATAATTATTTAATAAATTAATTTTTTAAATATTATTATTACTAATATTATTATTATTATTATTATTATTATTATTATTATTATTATTATTATTATTATTATTAATATTATTATTATTATTATTATTATTATAAATAATAATTGTAATAATAGAAAAAAATAATTTATTTAGAAAATTGACTATAATTTTTGTTCTTTAATAGTTGCTTAAATTATACGATATATCAATGTCAAAATATAAACAATTGGAAAAAATAAGAAACGTCTCAACTGTAAATATTGATGTGACAAATGAAAATAATTCACAACCATGGGAACCAGTTGGAAAAAGAATGTTGCAATTATTTTTAACTGATGGCATACAAGAAATTTTAGCCATTGAATATAAACCAATAAGAATTTTAAATGTGAGTCGTTTTATTAATTTTTTTTAAATCCAAAAAGTTGATAATAAATTAAAATTCATTTTAGAAAAAAAAAATACCAATTTATTTAGAAGAATTTTTTGTTTAGCCAAATTTTTTTTTTACAAAAAGTATTTTCATTTGGCTGAATTTTTTTTTCAAAATAGTTTTATATTTAATTTAAACATTTGAATTTAGCGCCAAAAAAAAATTTTAGTTTTTACTTTTAACTGTAGGAACAGTCGGTAAAGTAGATTGAAATTTTTTTAGAAAATAATATAATAATTAAAATTAAATAATATAAAAATAAATTAAATAAAATAAAAAATTTTTTTTTTCATTTAATATTTATATTCTATGCTATTCAAAAATTTGGCGAATTATAATAATAATTATTATTATTATTTCTTATTATTAATAATTATTTCTTAAATAAATAAAGTTAAATTTTTTTTTTTTTTATTTCAAATATTTATTACTTTTAGGATTCCCTATTACCTGGTTTGAAAATAATGATAATGGGTCCGGTAGTTTGTAGAAAAGGCGTTATTCTATTGGAGGAGACAAATGTTGCCATTAGAGAAGGAGAAGTTGCCGATCTTCTTATTCCAAATGCATTGGAAAATGTCTTGGCAAATGCTTTGTAAATGAAAATTAATTTTTTCTTCTCTTTTTTTAATTAATTTTCCATTTAATTTTAACGAAAAATAATTTTTTTTTTTTGTTTTCATTCTATGTTTAATTTAATGAAAAATTTCAGAAATTTGCCAATCAACGAAGATCCATACAATGATAAAAATAAAAAAGAAATTGCCACGACAACGACAATTGTAAATGATTTTGGCGACGACGATTTTAATGTTGATTTCGATGAAATTGAACGTTCCGTAGAATTGGCACAATCAAAATTATTAAAAGAAACAAATAATACAAATAAAAATTACCAACAATCATTAAATATTAATAATAAAAATATATCGAAATTTAATGATAATACAATGAGAAATCAGCCATCACCCCAACAACAAACAAAAAATGAAAATCAAATAATTTTTAATAATTGTGATTTTCATGATAATGATGATGATGATGTAATTTTCGATGATCTCGAAATAGACGAGGGTTTTTCATCTCACAATAATCAAAATTCAATTAAAGAATCACCTATAATTGCAAAGAATATTACCGAGCCAACACCATCAAGTTCAAAAGCATTTGATATTCCCGACGATGATTTTGATTTTAATGAAGTTGATTTTGATTCAGGTTTCACGTGGACGGAACCAGTGCCAGCGTTAAAAAATGAAGTTACTTCGAATAGTGGGAAAACGGTAGAAAATATCAAACGAGAGCAAAATATAACTGGAGGTAATGGTTTGCAAAAAGTTATTACAGGAAGCAAAAGATCTTCGGTAAGTTTTATGTTAATTTCGTTATTTTTTCTTTTTCACTTTGTTTATTTCACTTTTTTAAAATTAAATCGCGTTACTGCGCAGCTGTAAATGCTTTGGAATTTTACTGCGCAGCTGTAGAGTGCATGTGGTACTACTGCGCAGCCTTAGATACTTTACAAAGCTACTGCGCATTCGTTTATAAGGAAGAAATATACTGCGCAGCCATATGTGACTTGGAACTTTACTGCGCAGCTTTAAAGTGTTTTCAATAGTACTGCGCAGCAGTATAGTACTTTTGCGCAGCTCTAGACACTTTAGAATGCTACTGCGCATTCGTTTATACGGTATACTTCTACTGCGCAGCTTTAAAGTGTTTCCAATACTATTGCGCAGCTGTAGAGTACTACTGTACAGTCATAGATGACTTAACATGCTTCTGCGCATTCATTTATACGGTAGAATTCTACTGCGCAGCTTTAAAGTGTTTGCAATACTATTGCGCATCGGTAAAGTACTACTGCGCATCCCTTTTCAATTTTGAATGCTACTGCGCATCCGTTTATACGGTAGATTTCTACTGCGCAGCTTTAAAGTGTTTCCAATACTATTGCGCAGCTGTAGAGTACTACTGGACAGTCATAGATGACTTAACATGCTTCTGCGCATTCATTTATACGGTAGAATTCTACTGCGCAGCTTTAAAGTGTTTGCAATACTATTGCGCATCGGTAAAGTACTACTGCGCATGCCTATTCACTTTAGAATGCTACTGCGCAGCTTTTAAGCCTTTACAACACTACTGCGCAGCGTTAGAGTACTTCTGCACAGTCGTAAAATACTTAACAGTTCTACTGCGCAGTTGCGCTGCATTACTTCAATTATAAAAAATACTTCTATTATTCTCAAAAAATACGTCCGGGTCCAGCAGACCCGTTGTGCCATTTACATTCTAATTGTGCCATAATTAAGGGTTAAAAATCATCTAAATTTTTTTTTTCTATTTTAGGCTCAATTATCGCCTGTTACGTCAACAACAAAAATTCATTGTTTAGAAAGTGCAACGACAAAAAGTGCAACGTCCAATCGTAAAATTACTGATTTTATTGGCAATAGCAGTAAAACGACAAAACGTGACGATTGTCCAATGAAAGTTTGTGATTTTATTAGCGAAATATTGACAATAAATTTAACAGAACAACCAATACGACGAAGAATACGTGCAAAAGTCACGACAATTGGAAAATTAACGAAAAAAAATGGTCTATGGATATTGTATGGAACAATTATTGATCAATCGGGAAAATTGGATGTCGATTTTTCTTCTCAGGTTTTTATATAAATTTAAATATTTTTAAAGAAAAAAAAAATTCAAAGAAAATTAATAAATATTAATATTACTATAACAATAATAATAATTTATTATTATTATTATTATTATTATTTTCCCTTCTAGTTCATGGAAAATATCTTGGGATTTAGTGCCAATGAATTCAGTGAGAAAAAAAAGGAAATGAAATTAAATCCCGAATTGCTGGAACCAATGAGAAAGGTAAACTTTTTTGTTTTATTAATTTTTGGCAAAAAAAAATTTATCATTTAATTGTATTTTTAATTTAAAAAAAAATTAACAATGTAAAAAATTTTTAAAAATGAAAATATAAACAAATACCGACACAAAAATCTACCTTACCGACTGACAGTAAAGAATTTTTTTTTGAAAATGATAATATCAATAATTACCGACATAGAAATCTACCTTACCGACTGTTAATAAAACAATTTTTTCTTCGAAATTCTAATATAAAAATTACCTATACAGCAAACTACCTTACCAACTGATGGTAAAACAGTTTTTGAAAAATGAAAATATAAATAATAACCGACGCAGAAATTTACCTTACCGACTAATGGTAAAAGTCTTTAAAAGATGGTTACCATCAGTCGGTACAGTAGATTTCTGTGTCGGTAATTTTTATATTGGCATTTTCCAAAAAAAATCATTTTTACCAACAGTCGTCAAGGTAGAATTCTACGTCGGTAATTTTTTATTTGAATTTTCCCAAAAAATTACCATCAGTCGGTACAGTAGATTTCTCTGTCAGTAATTTTTATATTAACGTTTTCCCCAAAAAACACGTTTTACCATCAATTGGTAAGGTAGATTTCCGTCGATAATTGTTGATATTTGAATTTAAAAAATTCTTTACCATCAGTCGGTAAGGTAGATTTCTGTGTCAGTAATTTTTATATTGGCTTTTTCCAAAAAAAAGTCCTGTTTACCAGCAGTCGGTAAGGTATATTTCTGTCGATAATTGTTGATATTTGAATTTAAAAAATTCTTTACTATCAGTGGGTAAGATAGATTTCTGTGTCAGCAATTTTTATATTGGCATTTTAGAAAAAAAATCCCTGTTTTATCAGCAGTCGATAAGGTAGAATTCTATGTCGGTAATTTTTTATTTGAATTTTCCCAAAAAATTACTATCAGTCGGTACGGTAGATTTCTCTGTCAGTAATTTTTATATTAACATTTTCCCCCAAAAAAAACATGTTTTACCATCAATTGGTAAGGTAGATTTCCGTCGATAATTGTTGATATTTGAATTTAAAAAATTCTTTACCATCAGTCGGTAAGGTAGATTTCTGTGTCAGTAATTTTTATATTGGCTTTTTCCAAAAAAAATCCGCTTTACCAGCAGTCGGTAAGGTAGAATTCCATGTCGGTAATTTTTTATTTGAATTTTTCCAAAAAATTACCATTAGTCGGTACACAATAGATTTCTCTGTCGGTAATTTTTTTGATATTTTTATTTTTCAAAAATTTAATAAATGAAATAATGTTCTTTCGCAGAAAATGCTCGAAGGTCAAACAAAATTAGGCGAAATGAATTGTCTAATGGAATTGGAAATGAAAAAAAACGTAAAACCATTGGTTTTGAGTTATTCAGAATTAAGTGAAACTCAAATAAACGCTCACAATAAACGATTTAAATTTCTTTAATTTTAAAAATTAATTTAAAAAAAAAATTCTTCTTTTTTAAAACTTTGAAAAAAAAAAATTATATTCTCGAAAAAATAATTTTTAAAAAATTATGTTTAAAACACAAAAATATTAACTACGTTTGTTTGTTTGTTTTTTTTATTATAAACACGCATGTACGTGTCACGTTCCTTTCTTTTTTTTTAATTAAAAATAAGTGTTAATTATTGTGTTAGTTTACAAATAAAATGTACAATTTTCTTTACATAAAAATATATTGACATTATTTATAAAAAAAATGTACAAAAAAAAAAAAAAATTGTGAAATAAAAGTATTTTTTCTATTTTTGGTAAATTTGAATCTTTTTTCTTGTTCATCACTATAAAAAAAAAATAATAATAATAATAATCACAAATTTGAAATATTTGCAATTTCTGTTTGTAGACATTTTTCAATTCCAGGCAATGATAAATTATCGGCATTTAAATTAAAACTAACATAAATGGGAATTGAAAATTTTTTTGCAAGTCTTTTAGCTAAACATAATGATGTTGTATCGGCAATTGGACCAAATAATTTTGTTGCAATTGGTTGTGTTTCATAAATTGTTGGCATTGCAAGACAAAAGTCATTCATTTGTTTTTCATTTTTATTGCCAATCCATAAATAAAGACTATTCTCCATTTTTATCACGTGGCCAGAAATTTTTATTTCTCCAAATTGTGTTTCAAATTCGTGACATTTAAAATTACTCGGCTCAAGTTGAAATTCTTCTTCTATTTTTGACATTTTTTTTTTTTCTGTTTTTTATCTAGGAGAGAAAAAAAAAGATTTTTTTTATATTAGATTTTTCTTTCCCTAAATTCTAATTATATAAATTAAATAATTATTTAAATTTATTAAATAAATAATTATTTGAATTTATTAAATAAATAAATAATAATTATATTAAAATAAATAAATAATAGACCGAATCCATGTCAAATCATGCAGGCAGTCCGATGATATATTGCGAATTAATTTCAGAATGAAGTATGTTATTCTACTTGAAAAATAAAGAAATACGTGTTTTTTTTTATATTTTGATTCGATTTTTTTGTGTAGTTTTTACGACTTTTTAAAGATTTTTTCAAGAAAATTAATTTTTTTGCATTTTTCACTTAAAAAAAAAGCATAACTTTCGTAATTTTTAACCTTTTTTGTTGCTCCTGGGCTTAATTTTTTTTACTCTTGTAAAAAAAGTTGCTCCGAATGAAAAATATTAAAAAACAAGGATAAAAATGGAATTTTTCGAAAAAACAAAAAAAAAAATTTTTTCTCAAAAATGCCACCTATTTTTTGCCCCAAATTTTCAGGATTTATTGGTACACATATTATGTACTACATACCATAAAAATTTCACTTGGTATTTTTTTGTTTCTTAGGAGAAAAAAAATATTTTCATTTTTTTTTTTTTTTTTGATTAAAAACTCTAAAAATCATCAAATTTAAAAGGTTTCTAATTGCTGCTTGATTCATTTTTTTTTACTTTTCAACATTATTTTCGAAAATTGCGCAAAAAATAAAGAATGTTAATAATTTGTAAGAAAAATAACTTTGTTTTAGAAAAAAAACGAAAAAAAAGATTTCAAAAAATTTTTTTTTTTTTTTCAAAATTGCTTTTTAGATTTTTTATGTATTGATCAATTCTAAAAGCAATATTTAGAAAAAAAAAACAATTTCAACAATCCAATCAATCGATGGAATTATTTTCGAAAATTGCGTAAAAAATAAAGAATGTTAATAATTTTTAAAAATATCTAATTTTAATTGTTCTTTGTAATTTGAGGTTATGTTCGTAATTTTTTGAAAAGTTCTTTATAGTTCTATCTTCTTGTTTTGCAATTTATTATTATTATTATTATTATTATTATTATTAATTTTATTATATTTTTTATTTGTTAATAATTTATTAATTCATACAAAAGGAGTTCGAAATAATTACATTATAATTGTTTATTTTTTTTTTTTATATATATATAGCTGAGAATTTTATATGTGACAAAATAAAAATAAAAAGCTTGAGTGTCTGAGATTATATAAATTTTATATACTTAATGATATATAAATATATATTATTATTTACTATCTAACCTTGCTTTTGACAGGCAGAGTAAATAAATTAAATTATTATATATTTTCAATTCAATTTATTTACAATGTTTACAATCGTATGATTACAAGTAAATGTCAATTTCAATAAAAATCGTTTGTGGAGACTCGCCTTTATCTGTTTGTCCCTTTTATGGTACTGTGATTGGTTGTCCAGTTGTCTGGACAACAAATACTTGACAACCAATCAAATTTTTCTATTTCAAAAAATACAAAAACTTGATTGGTTATATCAACAATATTGGGACAGATTTTGCACAACCAATCAGATTAGTGGATTATTTTAATTGAAATTTTTTTTAAAAAATATTTGAAATCTAATTTTTAACAATTTATTTAAATAAATTTCTAATTAATTATTAATAATAATGATTTAATTATTATTAATAATATAAAATAATAATAATATAATTTAATATAATTTAATTATTAAATAAATTTATAATTTAAATAATTAATAGTTTTCAAATTTTTACGCGCAAAATTTAAAAATTATTTTTTTTTTTGTGAATCAGTGTAAAAAAAAAAAAAAAGATTACATTATGAGAATTCAAGTTTAAATTTTTATTAATCCGACTTTTGCTACCTTATATGTGTGTACATGTAATTTGAAATATGTCGGCACATGACTTAATTATTATTATTATTATTATTATTATTATTATTATTATTATTATTATTATTATATATATAACGTATTTTTTTTATTACATATTCAACATGCGTATAAACGTCGAAATATTTTTTTTTTTTTTGAGATTCTTTTTTATTTATTTTCCCTTTTTTTCATCTCATATTATTGATTTGACGTGTAGATCTTTTTCTTTTAATATACATATATATATTTTTTTTATATATATATATAATATATCTGCATATTAACACTCAATAATGGACAGGAGCGCTACTGCAAAATCTATATATATATATATATATATTATAATTAATCATCCGTTAATAGCTAATTAATATTATTCTTACTGTAATTATAATTATTTTTATTATTTATAAATTATTTATAATTCATAATTATTGATAATTACAAATAATTATTTATAATTATAAATATTTATAATTTATAATTATTGATAATTATAAGTAATTATTTATAATTTATATTACTATTTATAATAAGTAATTTCTATATAATATATATATATATGTCAAAGTTTTGTCACATTTCAATCGACGATCGCTAATTTTTTTTTTTTAATTTTCTTTTTTAATAATCTCACGAATTTTTTTTTTTTTATTATTATTTTTCTTAAACTCTAGATATGTTAATAACGAATTGTGGATCAGATTTTTATATTCTTCGCTTTTTTTTTTTTTTTTTTTTTTTTTTTTTCTCGCAATGAAGCTCCTTGTCCACGATTATAATTTTTTTTACCCTTCCTCCAATTAGACGAATTTTAGAAAAAATATTTTCTTTTTTACAAATTTTTTTCTCTTTACAATTTTACAATAATTATAGATAATTATTTTATCGAGCTCTTTCAAATTTTTTTCCTACTTCTCTAGGTTTTTTTTTTTTTTAAATTTAAATTTTAATTTTCATTATAGGTACTTTTTTTCAGTCTTTTCGATAATTTCCACCGATTCGCATTATATTAATTTTTTTTTCTTCGGCTTCTTTATATTAAGATCCGATTTCATTTTTTTTTCGTATTATTAATTTTTTCTTTTTTTTTTTTGTATTTTGAAAATTCCAATTTTTTCGAATTTTTTTTTATTTATTTTAATTATTTAACGTAATTTTTTTTTATTTATTTAATATTAATTATCGAATTTTCATTTCGAATTGTTTTTTTTTTTTTCGAAAAAAAGAATTTAAAAAAATATTTTTCTGTTTCCGCGGACAAGGAACTGGATGTTTTTTTTATTTTAATGAAAAAAATTCTCACTTCCGGAACACTGAAGGTTTTTTTTTTTTTTTTTTTGAGAATTATTATTCTTCTCATATATTATTTATATATATAATATAATATATATATATATATAACATTAAAAAGTGGATAGCGTGAACTTGATGCATTATTTTCTTTTTCTTTTTTTGTTTATCATTCTCTTAAAATTTTTTTTTTTTCGTCGAGCTAAAAAAGTATTCCTTAAGCAACGTCAATATAAAATATCTTAAAAGCTAGGACAATATATTTTTTGTTTTTTCTTTTTTTTTTTTTCAATTTCCCACACGCATTCTCTCTTTTTTTAACTCTCGTTTTTTTTTCTTCTATATTTTATCTCAAATTTGCAAAAATAAAAAACTGGACAAAATTTTTAATATTTTTTTAAATAATTATTTTATTCTTACAATAGAAACAAAAAATTTTTTCTTTTTTTATTATTCTCGAAATTAATTTTAATAATTCATTTTTTTTTTTTTTTTTTTCAAAAAATATTAAAATTGTTCCATTTTTCGAAAAATTAAAAATTCTTTTTTTAATAATTGATTCAAAAAAAAAAAAAAAAAAAAATTAAAATAAATCCATTTTTCAAAAAAACGAAAAATTCTTTTTTTAATAATTGAATTTTCAAAAAAGAAAAAATTATTTTCTTAATAATTGAAATTTTCAAAAAAGAAAAAATTATTTTTTTAATCAATTAATTTATTTATTTAATAATTAATTTCTAAAAAGAAGATGAAAAAAAGTCCATTTTTCAAAAATCAAATATATTTTTTTTCATAATTTATTTTTGGGAATTTTTTTTTTTTTTTTTTTTTGAGTCAACAAAATGGAACAATTTAATTATTTGCAAAAAATGAAATTTCTTTTTTCGAAATTTTAAAAATGAAAAAAAAAACAATTTTTCCTCACTCTTGTCTCTCTTTCTCTCTCTATTTCTCTCTTTTTTTTTAACTCCCACATTTTATATCACAGACTAAAAAATGCTTTGGTCTACAAAAAACTTGTTGATTTTTATTTTCCCTCCGTCATTTAAAATTTTTTTCTCAAAGTTTCTCGTTTTTTATTTTCATTTTCGTGGATAAAAAGATTTTTTTTCAAATAATTAATTTTCCTGAAAAATTTTTTCTTTTTTAAATCTTTTTTATTTTCTCTTTCTTTTCTTTTGTTTTTCTATTTTTATTCAATGATTTTCATATTTGTCGAGTTTAGTTTTTTTGTTGACTGAGGAAAAAAAAAACGTGTGCCTCTTATTTTGGTAAAAATAATAATAATAATAATAATAATAATAATAATTTTTAAACAAAAGAAAAGAATTTTTTTTTTTCTAAGAGAAATCTGTTTTATAAAACACAATTTTCGAAATACTTTTTTTTTTTTTAAAAAAAGTAAATAATGATAATAATTAATAATTAATTACTAACAAATAATTAATAATAATTAATAATTAATTACTAATAAATAATTAATAATAATTAATTATATCAATATTTTATCCTAAGAAATTCAGGTAGCACCGTTAAACAAAAAAAATTGTGAAAATAAAATTATAACAATTATATTTAGAATAACAATAATTATTTTTTAAAAAAAATTATTTTTCAATTCCCCCCCCCCCCCCCGAATAATTCGGAAATGTATAACGAATTTTCGATATATTTTGAAAATAATTCGTTTGGTATTTTTTTTTGTATTTTCTTTTCTAAAATTCGAAAACGAAAAAAAAAAAAATTGAAAATTATTCTAAATATTTGAAAGTTTCAAATGTTTTTCGATTACGAATATTTTCAATTTTTTAAAAAAGTATTTTGTGAGAAATTTTTTTTAAAAAAAAAATTCACTTTTTATAGCTGAAAAAAATTTTATTTTCTTTTTTTGAAAAAAGAAAATTGTGTTCTTAAATTATTTTTTTTTCCAAAATATTTCGAATTTCCGAATTGGGAAAATTTTTCTATATCTTTTTTATCCTGTAAATAACGGTAAAAATAATTTAAAAAAAAAAAAAATAGTCAACGAGTCTCTTAATATTAACATGTTACAGTTATTATTTTTTTTTTTCTTTTTTTTTTATTGTTATGGTCGTAACACTTAATAATAAATCTTATTAATATTATCCAACGTTTGATATTTTCTTATATAGGAGGTTCTAATATGCAATACCACAAATAAATTTGTCTGTGAAAAAATTGCCTTAAAATTACAATTTCCCTTTTTTTTTTTTTTTTAATTTTTATTCTTTATATCTTCTCTCGCGATATTTTTCTTTCTTTTTTTCTGACAATTGAACAAAAAGAAAATAAATATTTAGCGCCAAATTGAAAAAAATAATCTCAGTCTGAAATTAGAAAAATAAAGTAAAATAGAAAAAAAAAACAAAAAATTACTAATTATTTTTATTGGAAAAAAAATTGAAAAAAAATTACTAATTATTATTTATTTTTTTTTTTTTTGAAACAAAATAACTAAAAATTTATTTTTATTCAAAAACAAACAAAAAAAAGTATAAACCGAAAATAATTTTTGTTCAAGATACATACAAATTTTTTTGGAACCAAATTAAAATTTTCATTTTGGCAAAATACAAAAACAAAATTGTCAGTTTCAAAAAAAAAAGAACAAAAAAAAATCGAAATAAAAAAATTCTCCGGCAAACGAAAAAAAATGTTTTTTTTCTGTATTAATATTAAATACGTATATCGAGTACTAATACAATAAATCGAACTTGAAAAATTGATGAAAAAATTTTTTTAACAATTTTTTTTTCTGCGTTTAACTTGCTAGATAAATTTTTTATCACTACATATTTTTAATTTTCTTTTTCATTTTTTTTTCTTTTTTTTTTTTTTGAAATATCACGGCAACAAGTTATTAACAATCAGAGAAATAATTTTTTAAAAAAAAAGATAATAATTCCCATATTTGGGAAAAATTTTGCCAAAAAAAAAACTTTTTCATTGTTATTATTATTATAATAATTTTTTTTTTATTATTAGTTTATTATTAATTAGTTGTTATTATTATTAAATATTATTATGAAAAAAGAAATGACAAGTCAAGCGGGAAAATTCTATTTTTTTTTTTTTTTCTTGAAATTGTCATTGTTAGCCGAACTTTTTTTGTTTTTTTTTTTTTTTTTTTTTTTTTTTTTTTTTTTTTCTTAAAGACTCCATCAAGCTTTCTTTGCCACTAGAGCATCAATTAAACGTAATTTAGCTTTTGTTTGTTTATATGTCTCATAAATCATAAGTACTTGAGGTCCACGATCTTCTCTTTGCATTCGTCGTCCGGCTCTCACTTCAAATTGTACCTCTAATTCTTTGAGTGCTCGTCGTAGACGTTTTTTTTCTTCTCTCGTTGCTCGTTGTTGTGCCAGTAATTCATCTCTGAAAAAAAAACGAAAAATGAAAAAAAAAATTCAATTATTTTTCTTAATTTCAAATAAAAATTCAATTATATTTAAAAAAAAAAAAATTTTCTTCAATTCAGATAAAAATTCAATTATTTTTTAAATTTTACTTCAATTCAGAGAAAATTTCAACTATTTTTCAAAATCTTAATAAAAATTCAATTATTTTTCAAAATTCAAATTAAATTTATCAAAAATTCAATTATTTTTAAAAAATATCAATAAAAATCCCCAAAAAAATTCAATTATTTTCCAAAAATTTTAATTTAAACTTATCAAAAATTCAATTATTTTTAAAAATATTAATAAAATACCAAAAAAAATTCAATTATAGTCCAAAATTACAATTTAAATCTTTCCAAAAATTCAATTATTTTTAAAAAAAATTTACATCAATTCAAACAAAAATTCAATTATTTTTCAAAATTTCAATAAAAATCCCCAAAAAAATTGAATTATTTTCCAAAATTTCAATAAATATTCAATTATTTTTTAAAATTTTACTTCAATTCAGCTAAAAATTCAATTATCTTCTAAAATTTCAATAAAAATCACGAAAAAAAAATTGAATTATTTTTCACAATTTCAATAAAAATTCAATTATTTTTCACAAATTTTACTTCAATTCAGAAAAAATTTCAATTATTTTTCAAAATCTTAATAAAAATTCAATTATTTTTGAAAAATTCAAATTAAATTTATCAAAAATTCAATTATTTTTAAAAAATATCAATAAAAATCCCCAAAAAAAATTCAATTATTTTCCAAAAATTAAAATTTTAATTTATCAAAAATTCAATTATTTTTCAAAAATTTTAGTTCAATTTAGCCTAAAATTCAATTATTTTTCAAAATATTAATAAAAATCCCAAAAAAATTCAATTATATTCAAAAATTACAATTTAAATCTTTCCAAAAATTCAATTATTTTTAAAAAAAATTTACATCAATTCAAACAAAAATTCAATTATTTTTCAAAATTTCAATAAAAATCCCCAAAAAAATTGAATTATTTTCCAAAATTTCAATAAATATTCAATTATTTTTTAAAATTTTACTTCAATTCAGCTAAAAATTCAATTATCTTCTAAAATTTCAATAAAAATCACGAAAAAAAAATTGAATTATTTTTCACAATTTCAATAAAAATTCAATTATTTTTCACAAATTTTACTTCAATTCAGAAAAAATTTCAATTATTTTTCAAAATCTTAATAAAAATTCAATTATTTTTGAAAAATTCAAATTAAATTTATCAAAAATTCAATTATTTTTAAAAAATATCAATAAAAATCCCCAAAAAAAATTCAATTATTTTCCAAAAATTAAAATTTTAATTTATCAAAAATTCAATTATTTTTCAAAAATTTTAGTTCAATTTAGCCTAAAATTCAATTATTTTTCAAAATATTAATAAAAATCCCAAAAAAATTCAATTATATTCAAAAATTACAATTTAAATCTTTCCAAAAATTCAATTATTTTTAAAAAAATTTACTTCAATTCAGACAAAAATTCAATTATTTTTAAAAATATCAACAAAAATCCCCAAAAAAATTCAATTATTTTCCAAAATTTTAATAAAAAATCAATTATTTTTTAAAAATTTTACTTCAATTCAGATAAAAATTCAATTATCTTCAAAATTTCAATGAAAATCCCAAAAAAATTCAATTATTCTTCACAATTTCTATAAAAATTCCATTATTTTCCAAAGTTTTAATTTAAATCTATCAAAAATTTAATTATTTTTTAAAATTTTACTTCAAAATTCAATTATCTTCCAAAATTTCAATAAAAATCCCCAAAAAAATTCATTTATTTTCTTTAATTTCAATAAAAATTCAATTATCTTCCAAAATCTCAATAAAAAATTAAACAAAAATTCAATTATTTTTCACAATTTCAATAAAAATTCAATTATTTTCCAAAATTTTAACTTAAATCTATATCAAAAATTAAATTATTTTTAAAAATTTTACTTCAATTCAGACAAAATTTCAATTATTTTTCAAAACTTCAATAAAAATTCAAAAAATTCAATTATTTTTCAAAATTTTAATTTTATTTTATCAAAAATTAAATTATTTTTCAAAATTTTAGTTCAATTTATCCAAAAATTGAATATTTAAGAATTTTAATGGAAATTTGTAAAAAACGGACAAAAATTAAAATATTTTTTAACTCTTTAATAAATTCAATTATTTCCAAAAAAATTTTATTATCCGTCAAAAATTCATTTATTTTCCATAATTCAATAAAAATCACAAAAAGTCAATTATTTTCAAAAATTTCAATGATAATCTGTTAAAAATGCAATTATTTTTCAAAATTTCAATTTTAAATCTATCAAAAATTCAATTATTTTTCAAAAATTTTTAGTCCACTTCAGAAAAAAATTCAATTATTTTTCAAAAACTTGAATTATAAGTGGTTAAAAACTTGGGAAAAAAAAAAAAAAAAAAAAAAAAAATCTCCATGAAATCAGGCAAAAATTCGATTATTTTCAAAAATTTTTCATAGAAACCCTTAAAATTAAATTACATATTTAGAAAAAAATTTGAATTTGTAATTATGTTGAAAACTCATTTTTTTAAAAAAATTAAAATCTCAATAAAAATTAAACAAAAATATTCAATTATTTTAAAAAAAAATTTTTTTAATTCAATACAGCCAAAAATTTAATTTTTTAACAAAATATATTTATGAAATTTTATTTATTTATCATTTTTGATCAAAAAAAATTTTCTATGTTGAAATTCGTATAAAAAGTAAATCTGTCGAATGTTAATTTGAAAAATGAAAATTCATCTAAAAAATAATTATATAAATAATTAATTAAAATATAATATAAAAATAAATTTTTTTATTTTACGAGGGAAGTAATAATATTATTAAAAATAATAATAATAATAATAATAATAATAATAATACTTACTGTGGCAATGAATGAAGACTTTCTCCAGCACCTCGACTTCCTTCGCTGCTGCTGTGTTGACTATCGCTATCAGTTGGTAATTGATCCGTTTCAATACAATCTAAAATTCCACGATGTGACATATCCGGTTCACTTGCTCTTCTTTCACCGTCGGCTGGATTTCCTGGCAAAAATGATGACGTAAAATCCATTGCCTCGTGCTCTAAAATTGTCGCCAATTCCGACATACTGTCTTTGTTTTTATTCTGCAAAAAAAATATATATATTATTATTTTTATTCTCTCATATTTGTTTATTATTAATAATTTTAATAATAAAATTTAGATTTTTATATATACTAGAGAGAAAAGTGACTTTTAAGACTAGGGAAAAAAACAGTAACTTTTAACACTAGGGAAAATAATCTCAATTTTGATAATATATATTAAAATAATTATTAAAAAATTTAGTATTTTTTTTTTTTTTTTTTTTGCGATACTAGAAAACAAAGTTGTAATTCTTTTTTTTCCAACCTTGGGAGAAAAATCGAAATTATTACAATATATTGTAATAATTATTAAACAAAAAAAAAAAAAAAATTAGCATTTTTTTTAATTCTAGGGAAAAAAATTAAATACGATGGAGAGAATTCGTAATTTTTTAGTACTAGGGAGGAAAATAGCATTTTTTATCACTAGGGAGAAAAATCGCAATTATTACAGTATATATATATATATATATAAATATTGTAATAATTGTTATAAAAATAGTAATTTTTTTTTAAATACTAGTAAGAAAAATTGCATCATTTAACACTAGGGAAAATTAGAAAAAAAAAAAAAAAAAAGAATTTTTTTTCGAAAAAAAAATTTATATACAAAAACTTACCGCGCCAGCACGAATCAAATGCCTCTTTAGCGTTCGATATTTATCATACAATGGCCGAACAATAACTCGATCCTCCTTTGATACAGCGCGTCCAAATACATTTTCAATATGTAATAATGCTTTTTGTACGGCAATTTTTTCATCCATCAATTGTTCATAACTTAAATCCTCCATATTTTCATCACGTTTATATTTTATTCTTTTTTCATTTAATTTCCTTTCAATATCCTTAACATATTCTTCCATATTTGTTTTTCTTGATTTATTATCTTGTTGACTATTTGTTGTTGTTGTTGTTGTTGTTGTTATTGTTGTTGCAGTTGTTGTTGTATTATTATTATTCGTTGGATTTTCATTTAATTTATTATCATTATCGCGCAATGTTAATAAACCAACAATATCATTTTTCAATAATTTATGTTCTTTACGTAATTTATTTAATTCGCTGCATAATTTTTTAACATCACGATTATTCATTTTATCAGAATTACTTGGACGATAACCAAAATTTAATTCAAATTCATCCTCGTAGCGTTTGATTTTTTTCTTTAAACTTGATATATGTTTTGTTAAATTTTTTAAACTTATATCATTTGCATTTGGTGTATCGTCATTTTGATCATCATCTTCGGAATAAAAACGACGTGGTATTAATAGTGAATTTCTTGGCGATAACATTGCCTCAACTCTTGCATTTGTTTCATCTTCCTGGGGGGGGGGGAGAGAGAGAGAGAGAAAAAAAATTATTGTTTATAAAAATAATTTATCGATAATAATTATATTTTTATCTACAATAAAAAAAAATAAAATCACGAATTAATAAAAAAAAAAAAATTTTTTTTTTTTTTGATCAATTTTTATTAAATTAAAAAATTGTTCGAAAAACAAATTTTTTGTTAAAGTAGAATTTTTAATTAACCAAATATTTTGAATGGTAAATTCTCTAATTTTCTAAATTTTACATTAGTAAAATTTTTTTTTAGAAATTTCTAAATTTTACATAATTTCTATTAAACCGGATTTTTTTTTTAATGACTAATTTATCAAAATTTTTATTTAGCATAATTTTCAGTAAACATAATTTTTATATAACCAAATGTTTTTTTGTGCCAAATTCTCTATTTTTTCTATATGAAATTGTCTAATTTACTAAATTTTGTATTAAAAAAAAAAATTTTATTTAGCAAATTTTTTATTTGGCAAAATTTCTATTTAATCAAATTTTATTCAGACAAATTCTCTAAATTTAGTAAATTTTTATGTTAAAAAAAACAAACAATTTTTATAAGAAATTAATTTTCATTTAATCGGAATTTTTTTTATCAAATTTTTAGAATTTACTAAATTTTTATTTAGCTAAATTTTTTATTTAACAGAATTTTTATTTCAATCAAATTTTTTTTTGCTCCAAATTCTCTATTTTTCACATCAAATTTTCTAATTTAGTGAATTTTTTATTAAGCAAAATAATTATTGAGCAAAATTGATATTTAGCAGAATTTTTATTTAAATTTTTATTAGACAAAATTTTTATTTAGCTCAATTTTTATTTGTCCAAAAATTCTAATAAAATGAATTATGCTTTTATGGGAAAATTTTCTTAATTTACTAAATTTTCATTTAATAATTTTTTTTTTTATTATTTAAAAATTTTTATGCGACACAATTTCTATTTAGCTGAATTTTTTTTATATCAAATTTTCTAATTTAATAAATTTTTTTTAACATTTAGCAAAGTTTTTATTTAAACAATTTTTTTTTTAAGATAAATTTTCGAATTTACTAAATTTTTATTTTAAGCCGAATTTTCATTTCACATAATTTCTATTTAACCGGATTTTTTTTGTGCCAAATTCACTAAAGGACTAAATTTAACCGAGTTTTTTTTTCTATCGAATTCACTAATTTAGTAAATTTTTGTCTAGAAAATTTTTTATAAGAGATAATTTTATATTTAATCAAATTTTTTTGTAACAAATTCTACAAAAAAAAAATAATTTTTATTTAGCAGAATTTTTATGTGACATAATTTGTAACTAAATTTTTTTGTGTATCAAATTTTCTAAAACACTACATTTTTATTTAGCAGAATTTTTATTTAACTTAATTTTTTATATCAAATTTTATAAAATTTTTATTTAGCTAAATTTTTATTTAACCACAATTTTATTTAGCAGAATTTTTAATTTGATAAATTTTCTATTTTAACTAAATTCTTTTTGTGTGGTAAATTTTCTAAATTTACTAAATTTACTAAATTATTATTTAGCTGAATTTTTATTTAACAGAATTTTTATTTTAAACAAATTTTTTTTTGTTCCAAATTCTCTATTTTTCACATCAAATTTTCTAATTTAGTAAATTTTTTATTAAGCAAAATTATTTTTTTTGGCAAAATTTATATATTAAGCAGAATTTTTATTTAACTGAATTTTTTTTATATTTAATTTAATAATACAATAAATTTTTATTGAGACAAATTTTTATATGACAAAATTAATATTTAACTAAATTTTTTGTATAAAAAATTTTTTAATTTACTAAATTTTTATTAGGCAAAATATTTATTTCACATAATTTCTATTTCACCGATTTTTTTTGTTCCAAATTCACTAAAGGACTAAATTTTTATTTAGCAGAATTTTCATTTAACATAATTTTTGTTTAAACGAGTTTTTTTTCTATTGAATTCTCTAATTTAGTAAATTTTTGTCTAGAACAATTTTTCTATTTAATCAAATTTTTTTGTAACAAATTCTTCAAAAAAAAACATAATTTTTATTTAGCAGAATTTTTAATTGAATTTTTTTGTATCAAATTTTCTAAATTTTTTATTCAGCAAAATTTTTATTTAGCCACATTTTTAAGTAGCAAAAGTTTTATTTAACAAAATTTTCATTTATCCGACTTTTTTTGTATCAAATTCTCCAAAACATTGAATTTCTATTTAGCAGAATTTTTTATATACAATTTTATAACATTTTTATTTAGCTAAATTTTTATTTCACCACATTTTTATTTAACCAGATTTTTCATTTGACAAATTTTCTATTTATCCAAATTCTTTTTGTAGTAAATTTTCTAATTTTAGTAAATTTTTATTTACCAAAATTTTTATTTAACTGAATTTTTTAGTTTTAAATTTTGAAAAAATTTTTATTCAGCTAAATTTTTATTTAACCACATTTTTATTTAGCAGAATTTTCTATTTTAACCAAATTCTTTTTGTGTGGTAATTTTTTGTAAATTTACTAAATTTTTATTTAGCAAAATTTTCATTTAACCGACTTTTTTGTATCAAATTCTCTAAAACATTGAATTTTTATTTAGCAGAATTTTGTATATAAAAGTTTATAAAATTTTTATTTAGCTAAATTTTTATTTAACCACATTTTTATTCAGCAGAATTTTCATTTGACAAATTTTCTATTTATCCAAATTCTTTTTTAGGGGTAAATTTTCTAATTTTAGTAAATTTTTATTTTGCAGAATTTTTATTTAACTGAATTTTTTAGTATTAAATTTTGATAAACTTTTTATTTAGCAAAATTTTTATTTAACCACATTTTTTTATTTAGCATAATTTTCATTTGACAAATTTTCTATTTTAACCAAATTCTTTTTGTGTGGTAAATTTTTGTAAATTTACTAAATTTTTATTTAGCAAAATTTTCATTTAACCGAATTTTTTTTTGTATCAAATTCTCTCTAAAAATTTTTATTTAGCCACATTTTTAATTAGCAAAAGTTTTATTTAACAAAATTTTTATTTAGCAGAATATTCATATAAAATAATTTCTATTTAAGCAAATTTTTATTGTGGTAAATTTTCTAATTTAGTAAATTTTTATTTTAAAAAATTTTCATTTAACCAACTTTTTTTGTATCTCAAATTCTCTAAAACATTGAATTTTTATTTAGCAGAATTTTTTATATAAAATTTTATAAAATTTTTATTTAGCTAAATTTTTATTTAACCACATTTTTATTTAGCAGAATTTTCATTTGACAAATTTTCTATTTATCCAAATTCTTTTTTAGGGGTAAATTTTCTAATTTTAGTAAATTTTTATTTAGCAGAATTTTTATTTAACTGAATTTTTTAGTATTAAATTTTGATAAACTTTTTATTTAGAAAAATTTTCATTTAACCGAATTTTTTTTGTATCAAATTCTCTCTAAAAAAAGTGAAATTTTATTTAGCAGAATTTTTATTTATTTTAAATTTTCTTTAATTTTCTAAATTTTTATTTAGCAGAATTTTTCATTTGACAAATTTTCTATTTAACCAAAAATTCTTTTTGTGGATAAATTTTTGTAATTTACTAATTTTTTTTTATTTAAACGATTTTGATTTTTTTTTTCATATCAAATTTTCTAATAAAAGCAATTAAAAAAAATATATATATTATTTTAATATAAAAATTAATTTCTTATTTATTGTATAATGAATTTTTAATGAAAAAATTTTTTGAATAATTACATTTCCGGTATGATGTTGAAAACCCCAATTTGTCAGAGTTGGATTATTTGAGTCCTCGTGATCAACAATTGGTGGACGTGCTGGCGATGGAGATCTACTTGGACCACCGCTCAACATTTCCAAAAAACTTGGACCCGACGAATGTATACTTGGACTTTTTGGTCCTTGATAATTTTCCGTATTCTCCTCATTTTCCTATTAAAAAAAAAAATAAATAAATAAAAATAAAAAAAACAATGACGAAACAAACAAAATTTAATTTTTTTTTATTTCAAAAATAAACGAAACTTATAATTAAAACTAATCCCTAGGGATAAAAATCGAAAAAAAATTTAATACTAGGGAGAAAAATATCATTTTTTAACACTAGGGAGAAAAAATTGAAAATATACAATAATTTTAATAATAATTTTATCAAAGAGAAGGTGGATGAAAAAAAAATTATTGTTAGGTGAAAAATCGATAAAGAAAAAACATTGAGTGGTTTTTTTTTTTTTTAATTACCTTACTGGCTTCTTGATTAAAATCGGAACTTTTGTGAACTCGTCGTCGGCGAATTTGTCTTCGTCCTCGCGGTGTAACACTGCGACTAAATCTCTCGCTACTTCGCAAACGTTCAGCGTCACATTCAAATCTTTCAGCAGCTAGGACAACATCGCAAGGCGTTGATATTGGCGATGATTTTGCGGATGTTGGCGAAACATTTGTCCTCTCATAAAGAGGCAATCCTCCGCATCTCTGTAAATTTTTTTTTTTATTATTATTATTATTATTATTATTACCATAGCAATAATTTATTATTATTATTTTTTTTTAATAGTACCAAAATAAAAATAAAATTTTATTTCATTATTTTAAAATAAAATATAAAAAATATTATAAATAATTGTAAATTTTGGATGAATAAAAAAATTCGGCGTTTTTTATTGAAAATTGTTGTGTATAAATTAAAAAATTTGTACAAATAAAAATTCGGCGTTTTTTAAAAATTGTATAAATTAAAAAAAATTTGTAAGAATGAAAATTCGAAACAAATTAAAATTCGATGATTTGTGAATTTTTTTTTTCGATAATTTAATAAATAAATAAATAATAAAGTTAAGGGAAGAGGAGAGTAAAAAATAAATATTACATAATATTAAAAAGAAAAAAAAATTAAGGGAAAAGTATCGAGAATATTAAAAAAAATCAATATTACATAATTAGAATAATAGAAAATTTACGTAACGATTTTTTTTTTGCCTACTTTTCAAGTTTCAATTATTTCGAATCAAATACAAAAAAAAAAAGAGTGATGAGTTTTAATCTCTCGTTAAAAATAAATTCGATTCGCAAAAATAATAATAATAATTGTCCTTGAATTAAAAAAAAAAAAAAAAAAAAAAAAAAAAAAAAAAAAAGACGATGTTTAGTATATTACGAAATAGGCTTTCGTTAATATAATTGTGCAAAGAAATGTTTCTTTTTTTTTTTTGTTTATTTAAAAAAAATTCAATATTTTTTAAAAATTGTTTCGGAATTTTTTTTTCTTTTTTATAATTCATAATTACTATATTAATAAAATAATTAATTAATTTTAATAAATTCAGTAGATGTTATTTTACATAAATAATTAATTAAAAATGAAAATAGTTTAATTTTTAAATTTTTTCTATTTTGTTTATTTATTTCTTTATTTTTATTCTATTTCTTCTATTTTTCCAATTGCTTTACAATTTTTTTTTCTATTTTTTTTTTTTTAAATTTAATTTCTATTTTCCTATTTTAATTTCTTTTTTTTTAATTTTTGTTAATTTCAATTTTAATTTTTAAGTTTATTTATTTATTTATTTTTTTTAATTTTCAGTTAATTTCTATTTTTTTTATTTCAGTTTAATTTTTAGTAAATTTTAAATTTAAGTTCATTAATTTATTTCTCGAAAAATAAAATAAAAAAAGAACTTTTTTCATTGTGTTGAAAAAAATTTTCTATAAATTAATTGTTTAATAATAAAAAAAAAGAAAAAAAAAAACAAAATTTTTACTCACCATTCCGTGACCCATTTCAGATGGCAATTGGGACGACAAAATATGAAGATGCTTTGAACTATTAAAATCCTCGTGGCTACTGACCCTACGAATGTCGGCTTGGCTTTTTGTATTTTCCAAAATTCTCTCCTCGCTGTTACTTCTGTTGTTTGGAAATAGAAAAAAAAAAAAAATAGATAAGTAAAACGATTTTTTTTTTAAGACGAGAAAAAGTAATTTTTTTTAATATAAATTTTAACAAAATTTTCTACCAATTTTCATAATAATTTAATAAAAATAATTATATTATTACCATTATTATTATTATTATTATTATTATTTTATAAAATAAACTTTCTATATTTCTCAAAAGCGGGGGGGGGGGGGGGAATCCATAAAAAAAATAGTTTTGCGTGACAAAATGAATCCGGACAATTTAAATTATAATTTAATTTCATGACCTCGCGTACATCTGAGAAATAGAAAGAAATAAATATTCTGAGATTTGTTTTTTTTTTCTACTTCTTTTTCTTTAAAACTTTTTCCCTCAAATGGGTCAAATTTTTATTATTATTATTATTATTATTATTATCGTTATTTATTAATTTGTTTGTTCTTATTTTCTTTTGTTTATTATATTATATTAATATTATTATTATTATATTCTCATAAATTTCTCATAAATTATAATTATACTTTATTGTTTAATAATTTGAAAAATTTCGAACTTTTATTATTTTTTATCTCTATTACTATAATTATCTATATCATTAGAAAACAAAATTTAAAAACTGAATTTTAATTTTATTATTATAGAAATTTCAAAATTACTCTTTATTTTAGAAAAAATAAAATTTTTTTTTTTTTTCAACTTTTGTAAAATTTTTTTTTTTTTAAAGAATTTCAATAATAAATAATAATACTGATAATATTAATAAAAATAATAATAAAAATAATAATAATAGTTTATATAGAAATAAATAAATAGAAATAATAATAATAATAATAATAATAAGAATATTTTTTTTTCTTTTTTTGCAAAAAAATTTGTCCAAAAAATTACCTTATAAGTTTTCTTTCCAAACAACAAGATTGACGACGATCTTTTCTTTTCGCTGGTTTTGGTGCACAATCGGGAGATGAATCCTCAAAGGATTCTTCTTCCTGTTCGTTCTTTAAATCCTTACAGACTTTACAATCAAATAGGCCACTGATTCTTGTGCTAAAAAGAAACAAAAAGAAAATTAAAAATTTTTTCTTAAAATTAATTAATTATAAAAAAAACATAATAAACAATAAATAAATACTAATAATTAATTAATTAATTATATAAAAAAAATTAATAAACAATAAATAAAAAAAAAACTAATAATTCATTAATAATTAATTAATTAATAATAATAGAAAAATTATATTAATCTAAAAATTTCCTAAAGAAATTTTTCGTTTTAATAAATAATAATAATAATTAAAAAAAAAATTAATTAATTCACTTAATATAGAGTTTTAAAAATAAATTTAAAAAAATAAATAAATAAATAAATCCAAGTAAAAATTTTCCAAAGAACAATGCTCGAGTATATTATCTTTATGTAACGCGTGATTTAAAAAAAAAGTAAAAAAAAAGAAAAAAAAAATTTCACACACTCGACAATATCATTATCAAGGTCTTAACATAGAAATAATTGCAATTGTGTGTATAATTAGGCAGTTAATTAACATAAAAGTTCATTATTCAAATTTTTCGAATATATTTTTATTGTTCTCTCATTTTTTTTTTCACTCGATTCAATTTTTTATTATTATGTTTGTTATTTATTTATTTATTTTTTTTTTTTGAACCACAATTTTTTCCTTTTAAAATTTTCGAGAGATTTTTTTCCTTCTTTTTTTTTATCACCTTATAAATATACAAAATCAAATAAAATAAAAAATATTATTTACGATAAAAAAGAAAAATGAAATAAAAAAGAAAAAAAAATATTAATAACAAAATCAAATAAAATAGAAAATTATTTTTATTATAAAAAAAATAAAATAGACAAAAAAATTAATAACAAATTCAAACAAAATATAAAATTATTTATTATTATAAATAAATTATTATTATTATTATTATTATTATTATTATTATTATTATTATTATTATTAATAATATTATATTATAAATAAAATTTATTATTATAAATTCACAACGGTAATTTTGTTTAATTTAAAAAAAATTTAATTTGCAATAAAAGAAAATATGAAAAAAAATCGCAAATATAATTTTTAATAATTAATTATAAATTGAAATTTAGATTGTGTAGTAATAAAAAAAAAAAATCGATTAACTTGTTATAAATGACTCTCAAGAATTATTCTGACGTAATTTTTTAAAAAAGAGGGTCACACACAATAATTTTTGCAAACGATTGTAATTTTTAATTTAATAATAATTTATTATAAATATTATCATTTCTAGAACATTTTTTTTTTAATTATGTTTTTTTTGCTCTTAATAAAATTCTTAAAAAATTGAGGGCAAATAAATTGTTAAATTAATAAAGAGGCGGGGTTGGGGGGGGGGATGGAATTAAATAAAAAATTTTCTTTCCTCAAGAAAATTTTTTTATTCGATTTTATATTAGAAATTAAAAAAAAAAATTCCAAAAAAATATTTTTTATTAATTTCAAAAAAAAAAGTTAATTATTGACAATTTATTTAATAAAATAATAAATATTATAATTATATATTTTATAAAAACAAAAATAATAATAATATTAATATTATATTAATTATTAATTATTAATTATTAATATTCTATTTTAAACCTAAAAAATAATAGAAAATAAATAAAAAAAAAATTATAAATAAATTATTAATTAAATTTTTTCCAATTATTTATTTATTGGAAAAAATTACGAGCAATAAAAAATAAAAATTGAAAATACGTCAACAAAAAAATAAAAAAAAAAAAAATAAAAATAAATAATTTTTATAAAGAAATCAAAAAAAAAAAAAAAGAATTATGTAATTATTCAATTATGTAAAAAAAAAATATAGTAAAAAATAAAAATTTCCATAATTCAGTAAAAAAAAAATTTTTAGAAATTTTCTTTCTTTCATCTTTTTTTTTCTAAATAAATATTTTTTATATTCCAAAAAAATAAAAAAAAAATTAATTTTCTCAATTTAAAATTTTTTTTTATATAAAAAAACAAAATAAAAAATTATAAAATCATTTTTCCTAGAAGAAAAAAAAAAAATTAGAAAATCGTTTCGGAACGTTTTTTTTTTTTATGTGTGTACACATATACTTACACAAAAGGAATTTCTACTTCAAATGAGAAAAAAATAAATTCCCGTCACTCATGTAATGACAAAGACCAACTTTCTTTTCCAAAAGCGAACTATTGGCGTAAAGACGAATCTTTCAACGATTCGATGAAACATTTATATGGACAAATTTAATATATTTTCAAAATGAATAAAAAAATAAAAAAAAAAAAAAAAACTAAACTTTTAATTTATTCAAAAAATCAAATTTTAATTCAATGGAATATTTAAAACCGGCACAAAAATCATATTTTTTTCTGTTTTTTTTTTTACCGCACACACTTTCAAAAAAATTGACAAAAATTTTTTCTATCAATTTTCAAAGTCTTCATTGAAAAAAGAAATTTTTTTTCATCAAAAAAAAATTTTTTTTCCGATTTTATTGTTTATAATTTTTTTTTTTTTTAAATTGTTTTTTATTTTTATAAATTGTTTATATATAATTTTATATATTAAAAAAAAAAACACACACACACACAGAAATAATAAAAAAAAAATTATTTATTTTTTTATTTTGGAAAGTCGTTTTAATATATATTAAAATATAATTTATAATAATAATAATAGAGAGCGAGAGACACTTTCGAACTCGCAGGAGGCAGAAAGCAAACTGTCTTTTTCAGCTGGCGTGAGTCAGAAGCCGGAGACTTATATTTGTATTTTGTACGTCGCTATAAGGCTTGTAAATTTCCTTCGTACATAACACTCCAATCTGTGTATATATATATATATATATATATGTATATGTAACTTTGGAAGAAGACCCTCGAAGATACGAGAAAGGCAGGAACGTAAGAAAGAAAGATATTTTCAAGGGTGAAAGGAGGAAGGTCGAAAAAAAATTAATTTTTTTTTTCTTCAAAATTCTATTATGCCAAATTTTTTTTTCCTATTTGGCAGAAAAAAAAATTTTTTACCCCAAAAAAATTTTCCAAATTTAACAAAAAATTTTTTTACTTAACACAAAAAAAAATTGTCACAAAAACAAAAAATCTCCATTAAGCCAAAATTATATTTAACCAAATTTCCATTTAGCCAAATTTTCATTTAACCGAAATTTCCATTTCATCGAATTGTAAAATAATAAAAATTTGTCAAATTAACAATAAAAAAAAGTTTTCTCACAAAAAATTAAAATTTCCATTAAGCCAAAACTATTATTTAAACAAATTTTCATTTCGACAAATTTTACAATTTAATTCAATTAAAAAATAATTTTTTCTCATTTAACAAAAACAATATTTTCCCCATTAAATTTCCATTAAGTCGAGAATTCTATTTTATCAAATTTTTATTTAGCCAAATCTTAAATAATTTTTTAGTATTTAGCAGGAAAAAACCAATTTCTCCACTACAAAATATGTAAAATTTTCAGGTAATTCTTTTTTTTTTAATCAAAAATAAATTTTCATTGAGCCAAAAATTATATTTAACCGAATTTCCATTTTACCGAATTATAATATAATCAAATTTTGTCATATAATAAAAAAAATGTATTTTTTCTCAAAAAATTTAATTTCAATTAAACTCAAAATTCTATTTAAGGAAATTTTTAATTTAATTAAATTTTTATTTAGCCAAATCTTGAATTATATTTAGCATTTTGGGAGGGAAAAAATTTTTTTTTCTTTTATCACAATATTTACAAAATTTTACATAAATTCATCAAGAGCAAAATTTTATTAAATACAAATTTTTCACAAAAATAAACTTTTCATTAATGCCAAAAATTATATATACAACTAAATTTCCATTTAGTCAAATTTTCATTTAATCGAATTTTTTCATTAAATCAAATTTCCATTTAACCAAATTGTAAAATAATTAATTTTTATATAACAAAAATTTACTCAATAAAAATTTTCCATTAAGCCAAAATTAAATTTCGCCAAATTTTTTCATTTAACCGAGTAATAAAATTATTAAATTTGTCAATTAAATAAAATTTTTGTGAAATAATTTTAATTTCCATTGAGCCCTGAATTTTATTTTACCAAATTTTTAATTAACCCAAAATATTTATTTAACAAAATGTTAAAAATTTCTCTTCAACATTTGGTGGGAATAAAAATTTTTCTTATTCCAAAAATTTCCAAAATTTCATATAAATTTACCACAAGAGAAAAAATTTCATTAAATAGAAAATTTTTCTCAAAAATAAATTTCCATTAAGCCAAAAATTATATTGAATCAAATTTCCATTTAACCGAAACTTCATTAAACTAAATTATTAAATAATTAAATTTGTCATTTAACAAAAAAAAATTGTCTTTAAAAATTTTAATTTCCATTAAGCCCAGAATTCTATTTTACTAAAAATTTTATAAAGCCAAATTTTTAATTTTTCCACATTTGCCAGAAGAAATTTTTGTTTTATCCGAAAATTTCCAAATTTAACATAAAATTTCCCCTAGGGCAAATTTTCATTTAACTGAAATTATTGTTAAAAAAAATTTCATTATGCCAAAATTGTATTACACCAAATTTAACCAAATTAATTCTATTTAATCTAATTATTTTTACAAAAAAATAATAAAATTTCATTATTCCGAAATTCCAATTAACTGAATTTTTTATTAAGCCAAATTTCCATTTAGCCAAAAAATTATTTAACAAAATTTAGTCTATTACGCATTAAAATTGAATATTTAACTAAATTTTGTGTTTAATCATTTTTTCTCTAAAATTAACATTTTATTACGAACTAAATTTCTATGTTACCTAATTTTTATTTAGCCTAATTTTCAATTTTTTTCAATAAGCTGAACAAATTTAACTAAATTTCCAAATTAATCATAAATTTTGCCGAAAAAAAAATTTTATAATATAAGAAACTTTAAAAAAAAAAACAAAAATTATCAAGCCGAAATTCTATTTAACCAAATTTTTTATTTAGCCAAATT